GCCAGAGGAATGTTGAAAAAGAAAAGCAAAGCTGGCGGCATCACAATTCCGGACTTCCAGCTCTATTACAAAGCTGTCATCATCAAGACAGCATGGTACTGGCACAAAAACAGACACATAGATCAATGGAACAGAATAGAGAGCTCAGAAATGGACCCTCAACTCTATGGTCAACTAATCTTTGACAAAGCAGGAAAAGAATGTCCAATGGAAAAAAGACAGTCTCTTCAACAAATGGTGTTGGGAAAATTGGACAGCCACATGCAGAAGAATGAAACTGGACCATTTCCTTACACCACACACAAAAATAGACTCCAAATGGTTGAAAGACCTCAATGTGAGACAGGAGTCCATCAAAATCCTAGAGGAGAACACAGGCAGCAACCTCTTCGACCTCAGCTGCAGCAACTTCTTCCTAGAAACATCGCCAAAGGCAAGGGAAGCAAGGGCAAAAATGAACTATTGGGACTTCATCAAGATAAAAAGCTTTTGCACAGCAAAAGAAACAGTCAACAAAACCAAAAGACAACCGACAGAATGAGAGAAGATATTTGCAAATTGTCGATTCTTTACATATGTATTGTTTCTTTTTCCAAAATGTATAAAGCTTCCTGCTCCGGTCACTTCTTCAGGCCTTCATTCTCTTATAAAAGCTCCTGTGTACGTGTAAAAATGCTACAAAATTTGTACACTTTTCTCCTATTAATCTGTCTTTGTCAGTTTAATTTTTAGGCTCAACCAGGGACCTTGAAGGGGTCAAGGAAAATTTTTCTTTTTCTTTAGGGGTATGTAGTTAAATATGGGGACTCTAGAACAAAGATCTGCCCTGGTTCAGTCCCTTAGTTGCTGTGAGGCTTTGGGTGAATTAAGTAACCTCTCTTCCTCAATTCCCTCATCTGTACAATGAGGGTAATAACAACCATACTTACCTCCTAGGTTGCTGAGAGGATTCAGAGGTGATGGCAGCTTGGATTAAGGTGGACTCATCTAGGCTTCTCCTGTCAGCCTTTACCCACAGCTGTTTTCTGTTTCCAAGGTAGAGTGAACATGTGGGCTAAAGTATGTTGACAACCCTTTGAGGTGGGAAGCTTATAAAGCAGCAAGCCAAGAAATAAAAGGGGAGGAATGTGAGAGTAGAGGCGTTTTTATTGGGCATGTTGATGATGTACTAGCAACGTATGTAACTCCCAAAGAAAAGCCAGAAGTGGGACATAGAGGTACAGTGAAATGGCAGTTTGCTAAGGTACAGTGTTGAGGTCTCAGAGTCCCTACCCTTAAATAGCAGCTAATTTCTTCACCAGGGTTCTGCACAATTTATAAAATAAAACAGAGAGTGAAGATTAAGTCCAAAATACTCATTTCATTATGGATAGAGGTTAAGCTAGGATATATGGGTCTGCTAACCAGACTTCAGAATTAGGAGACTTCCCCACCCAGTGCCTGGAGCAGTGCAGAACATAGGCCTTCTTTGGGCAGCAGAGCTGGTGGGGGGAGTGGTTATTCTCCCCAAATTTGTCAAATAAATCATTGTACCTGCCCAGATCCATAAGCAGAATGAGTAAGGGGATGGAGAGAGGCCCAGGGCTATACTAATTGAAGTCCTTTCCCAGGAAGGAAGCATAAGGAATGGGGAAGAAGAGTATCTGGGAACATACAAGATCCAGAAGAAGAATGATACATTTCATGGGGGCTGGGGGTGGGGGAACAGAGATGCCATGTGGACCACTGCAACTCTCCGTCTCCCTATAAGCAATATCGCAAGCAAAGTCAACTCCTGGACCCTGTTTGGTCAAATTAGAGTCTAGTCTTATCCTCCTGGATAAGTTTCGGAGTATGAGAAAGTTATCTTTAGTGAACACTGACCATTGACCTCTCTTTTCTCCTGCTGACTTCGGAGAACTGCTATTGCGTTTCTTGTACACAGAGGTACAGACATTGGAATTGCTTAGGGCCCAAAGACCTCAGTCCCACTGCTGTAGTCATTAGACTGTTCCCAGAGCCTACTGAAAATAAATCTATGAGACTTTAAGAAGCCTTGTCTGGGGAAACCCAATTTAATTCAATGAACTGCTTTATTGAACTGCCTTTCAATCAGGCTTTCTTTTCTTTTCTTTCTTTCTTTCTTTCTTTCTTTCTTTCTTTCTTTCTTTCTTTCTTTCTTTCTTTCTTTCTTTCTTTAAGATTTTATTTATTTATTTGAGAGAGAGAGAAGGAGAGTGAGCGGAAGGGGGGGGCAGAAGGGGAGGGAGAAGGACAAGCAGACTCCATGCTGAGTGTGGAGCCCAACATGGAGCTCGATCTCATGACCCTGAGATCATAACCTGAGCTAAAGCCAAGAGTTGGACACTTAACCAACTGAGCCACCCAGGTGCCTCTCAGTCAGCCTACTTTCTGTTCCTGCCTTCAAAGAGTGCACAATTGGAAGGATGCAAAGAAATAATCACAAGGAGTCTTTCTTGTCTGGGGATTTGTTATCTGAATCTCTCATGTTACAAGACTGTAGGAAAGTGAAATTGTCATAGTACAAAAATATTCACTAATAAATGTTTTCCTATTGCTCTTCATTTCCTTCCACTCTCTTTCCCCATCCATTCTACTTTGTCACATTTTCTCCTTATAGATATGCTAAATACAAAGCTTCCACCCACTATGTTGGAGAAGCGGGTCCCATCAGCCCCGTTTGGCCAGCTGAGATCAGGGTCAACTGGAGTGTGCACACAGAGCCCTGAGACTGGGAGCAGCCTTTCTGATAGCAGGCTGTGCATCGTCCCCTCTAGCAGCACACATGATGCGGGAGTGCTACATTTGCTGCTTTCCCCAGCTGCTCTGAGTTTTGAGCTGGACCTGCAGCTCAGACCCACAGAGCTTGCCATTGCTCACTATGGACAAGGGACTGTAGGCTTGCTGGTGGAGTTGGAATGGTGGATTACCAAGGTGGTGATGGTGGATGGGTTGTTGAGGGGGCAGGGAGTGGGTGGGGTTTTTCTGGTAGGTGTAACTCCCAACAGAGGCCTGAAATTCCTACCTTCACAGACAATAGCTAATTCTGTGCATTTGTGGCCGATGTGCCATTTTAGTGCACATCCAAGGTGCCTGCAGAGGGAATGCTCTTATTGAGCACACTCCTTCTACTAATTTGAGTTATGTCTTTATGTCTTCAAGATTTTATTTTTTAAGTTATCTTTATACCAACATGGGGCTTGAATTTACAACCCTGAGATCAAGAGTCAAATGCTCAACCCACTGAGCCAGCCAGGTGCCCAAATTTGAACTATGTCTTATTTTGAATTACTTGTTTTGCAAAAAGTTTGATTGGACTTGAATCTATTCTTATAATACAAAAACCTTTCAATGTTACATTTATCAACAAAAGAAAAGAAAGAATTGTTACGTTCTTTAGATAGTTCCACTGTTATGATTTTTTGAATGACTATAAAATGGTCTTACATTATTTTCACACCAGGCTGTGGCAACTTGAAGAGATTGTCCTTAAAAATATTAATTAGGAATTAAGCCCCTACCCCTTCTAGTTTATCCCAAGGTGGCATACATATAGCATGTTTTTTATGTGGAAAGTGTTACCATTTAAAATGATTTCCTTGCAGTGACTTTTTCATGACACATTTGTTTTTCGAGAACTGGGGTCATGGAATGTGATAAGCACAGGACTTAGAAGTCTATTCAAGGTGTAGAGAGGAGGTGTCCAGATTGGAGCTTCATCCATAAGCAAATCAAGGTGGTAAGAAGTGAATGGAGGAGTTCTCTCTCAAGGCAACTGGTGAGGCAGGCTGGGCATTAGGGTTGCATATGTTTGGCTTGAAATCTCTGTTCTGTCTCCTCCTCGCTCTGTGACTCAGGGAAAATTACTTAACTTCTCTGAGTTTGATTTCTCATCTAAAAATTAATACATGGGAAAAATCACAACATTACATCATGTAACGAGTAATAAAGACATTTTGGCTCTGCTTTCTCCTTCAAGAACTTGGGTACAGATGACTTAAATATGGCATTGCTGCAGTGGGGCAGTTTTAGTTGGATCTGAAGATTTGGAGTTAGGTGCCCCTTCTATTGGGTGATGTTGTTAGTAAAAACCTAGATGCATCAACAAGTTATGTCAAAAGGTCCACTCCTAATGGTTGAGAACGATTCCTCCTTGGCTGATGTTTACCTGTTGCATTCTGGAGAGTCCATCTGAGTAGCGCATGGGTAGTGTTGTGGTGGTGACAGCCATGGTAGTGGCAGTAGGTCTCAGGGATTTGGTGAGGGGTCACAAGGACAAAAGAGTGATCCTAGCTGGAAAGTGCTACCGGAGAATTTATGGAGACCCAAGGCCATGCTTTCTGATGAGGCAAGAGGGAAAAGAACTAGGCAACAGGTTTCAAATCCCTTAATTTAGAAAACTGAAAATATCCTCAGACTCCTCAGCTCTTAATAGTCAAATTACTGTGGGGGTGCCTGGGTGGCTCAGTTGGTTAAGCGATTGCCTTCGGCTCAGGTCATGATCCTGGAGTCCCTGGATCGAGTCCCGCATCGGGCTCCCTGCTCGGTGGGGAGCCTGCTTCTCCCTCTCCCACTCCCCGTTTGTGTTCCCTCTCTTGCTGTGTCTTTCTCTGTCAAATAAATAAATAAAATCTTTAAAAAAAAAGTCAAATTACTGTGTATCTAACACTCTATCCTGTCTCACTGTGCACTTTCTCTTCATTTTCCGGATGAAGGTACTGCGGCTCAGAGAGTCACGTGGCCAAGCCCTTACAGCTAGTGCAGAACTGGGATTATAATCCAGGTCAAATTCTAGAGTTAGTGTTTTCAACCAGTACACATGGCTCTCAGTTACTGTGTGGTTATATTTACTCCAATTGCCATATGGATTTCTTGCTGTTGGTGGACTACCCTTGTTCATTTGCATGGCTGAGGTAATCTGAGGAAATTTATCATGTTGGCAGGAGAAAGAATGTGGGTAGAAGAGCACAGACAAGAAATGTCAGCTGGCGAGGCCACTGTTAAATCAGCAATCATTTATTTAGCAGTACTTTGCATCAGGCAGTGTTTTAAATGAACAAGATATGGTTCCTCTCAGTAACTCACCATTTGTTAGGAGACAGATTCAAAAAGAATATTCCAGTTGATCCTTAAACAGTGCACCCCTGCACAGCCAAAAATCTGAATAACTTCTGATTTACCCCAAACTTAACAGTACAGTTATACTAATAACCTACTGCTCACCGGAAGCCTTACTGATAAACATAGTCAATTAACACGTATTTTGTGTGTTATTTGTACGATAGACTGTATTCTTATAATCAAGTCAGCTAGAGAAAAGAAAATGTTATTATGGAAATCATAAGGAAGAGAAAATACATTTACGGGACTCTACTGTAGTCACTGAGAAAAAAAATCCACGCATAAATAGACCCATTCCATTCAAACCCGTGATGTTCGAGGATCAACTATATGCTACAGTGAGAAAGGGCAATGACAAAGCAGTGAAGGCTTCAGGGAAGGCTTCACAGAGGGAGATACTTGAGTGTCTCTCGAAAGACAGTTGGAGTTGGAGTTCCCAGCGGAGGCAAGAGCTTGCGCCAAAGTGAGGAGGTATGGCACAGTTCAGGGGTTGGTAGTATTGGTTGGGAGGTTTGAAGTGAGGCTGGGGGTTTCTGGAGATCGGGCAAATGGGCTCAGATCACAAAGGGTCTCCTTTTCCAGGCTAAGGAATTTGGACCATTATCTCTGATCAAAGAGACATTTTCAGGGATTTTAAACTGGAAAGCAATATGTCTGCACTGGATCCTTTTCATATGCTCTCCATTGTCTGCTCAGTCTGTACTTTCAAAGGCTGACCTCCATGGATGACATCAGTCCGTGTGTTAGTTTCCTAGGATTGCCAAAACGAAGTGTCCCAAGTGGGTTATTCGTTCACAGTTTTGGAGGCTAAAAGTCTGGAATCGAGGTGTCAGCAGGGTTGGTTTCCTCTGGAGTTTCTGAGGGAGAATCTGTTCATGCCTCTCCCCTGGCTGCCAGTGTTTGTTTGCTGGGTGATTCTTGTAGGTCCATCACTCTAACCTCTGCCTGTCTTCACATGCCATTTTCTACCATGTCTCTGTCTGTCTTCTCCTTTTATAAGGACACCTGTCATATGGGATCTAGCTTATCTTGCTCCAGCATGAGCTCATCTTAAATTGATTACATTTGCAAAGATCCTATTTCCAAATAAGGTATAGGTACCAGGGGTTAGAACTTGAATATATCTTTTTGAAGGGACATGATTCAATCTACAATAGTCGGCAACCTTGCCCTTTGAGTTTTGGTTGGGTTAGGCCATTGGGGAGCATGGACAGGGGATGAGAGGGAGGGAAGAAAATAAAGTTAGAGAATTTATTCCCAAGCTCTGTACTTTGGGGTTACCACAGACAGCCTTCCTCTGTCATCTGAAGGTCATAACTCTTGAGAGGTGGCCCTCTTCACAAAGAAGTCTCTCTCTCATTCATAATTGTTTTCTCCTCTTGCCTCATTAGGCCTAGGAGTGGTAAAAATACCTCATTGTTACCAGTCTGGGAGTATTTTATTATCCCTAGGATTTCCCTACATTCTGCTCAAACCTTTTGTAATCACCTCCATATTAAAATGTCCACAAATTACCTAATTTGAGTGTCATCTTATTCCTATCAAGATCTTGATGGAAACAGTGACAATATTTTTATTTTAGAACAGTTGCTTAGGTAGCAGAGTAGAATATGGATGGAAAAGGAGGCAAGAAAGGAGGCACTGAGACCAAAGAGGAAGACAGTATAATAATTCAGATAAGAGATGACTGGACCTGAACTTGGATGATAGCAGTTAAGATGGAAAGGAGAGGAGGAATGCACAAAATATTTGGAGATAGAATTAATGTGGCTAGGGACAGCTTTTATAATGAATCATTCATCCTCACCAAATACTTATTAGATAAGGGGAAATTCTATCCTGTAGATTATCTGGCGCCGATTTCAAAAAAAACGAAGATTTACAGATCAGTAGAAGAGAGGCAAGGAGGATAGGTGCCCCCCAAACTTTTAAATAATGTGACATGGAGGCAGGCTTGGTGGAATCGGGAATGATTCGAGTTTTTAAGGGTTTCAGCGTCCTGTCCCACTGGGTCAGGATGGCGTTTCTGGCTCCATCCCATTTTCCAGGGCCCATGAGGCGGTACTGGTAAGGAGTACAGGGTCCAAAGAAAACTTCCCAAGCTAGCCTGGGATCCTTGAGGAACAGAAGAGGGATACTGGGCTTTGCGCCTATGCATGCAGCAAGGTCATCCAGGTACAGAATGAACTCAAGTTTGTCTTCACTGGTGTCTTTCATCACACCCCTGAGAGGAAAAAAGATGGATCATTTTTCATTTTCAAGTTATAAGTCATCCCTCCTCCCACCATTTTGTTTCTTTTTATCGGAGTCAAACCATGTTTGGGAATGTGTTTCTATGTTGCAAAGAAAAAAAATGAGAGGAGTTTATCTACAAAGGGTATTTGTGAGGGTAATTAATTTTGTTAAAGGGAATGGTAAAAGGAGGCAATTGGGAGAGGAGCTCCAGATAATGGTTTAGGTTCTTGAATTTGATATGAGGGTAAAAATCTGGTCAGTCCAAATACAACAGTTGAATGAATGAACATGATCAGAAAGCATCACATATATGGCCACCTAAATTATTTTTATTGATGTTAATTGTGGGCCATCTGTGGTGTACCAGCTCTGAACATGACACAGATATGAGTGTAATGTATATGAAAGCTTTATTCCTACCTATTTCTGCTGTTAGTAAACTTTCGTAATGTCCCAATGTCATTCATTCACTCATTCATTCATTTATTCTTTCAATAAATAAATATTAAGTGTCCATCACGTGACAGGCATCATCCTAGGTGCTAGGGGTCCAGCAGTGAATAAAACAAAGGCCTTGTCGTCAAAGCACTTACATTCTAGTGAGGAAATTAACAGGCTATAGAAACCCCCAGACGGGGCACCTGGGTGACTCAGTCGGTTAAGCGTCCGCCTTTGGCTCAGGTCATGATCTCAGGGTCTTGGGATCGAGCTCTGAGTTGGGCTCCCTGCTTAGCAGGGAGTCTGCTTGTCCCTCTCCCTCTGCTCCTCCCCCCGCTTGTGCTCTCTCTCTCTCTCACTCACTCTCTCTCAAATAAATAAAATCTTAAAAAAGTATTGAGAACTCCCCCAGCCAAATAGATACATAATGAATCAGGTGGTAATAGGTATTATTAATAAATATAAAGGCAGCTGGGGGGAAGATGCAATGAAGGGACTGGCTGCCGCCGTATTTATACAGTGTTGTGAGAGAAGGCTTCTCAATTATGAGGTGATATTTGACAGAGTGAGCCTGTAGCTATCTGGTGGGGAGAACATTCCAGGCAGAGGGAATATAAGTGCAAAAGGGCTGTGCTTGGCATGTTTGTGGACCAGGGAGGAGGCTGGAGTGACTGGAGCAGTATGGGCGAGGTGGGAGGACAGGAGGCAGTGAGGGTGCAGAGCTAGCTGGTTGCTCCGGAGGGCTGCAGAGTTGCAGGGAAGTTTCTGGGAGTGAAATGGGAAGCAATCAGAGCGTCTTGAACAGAAGAACAGCGTGGTGTTGCTCACTCCTGCTGTGGTGTCAAGATCTGACTGTAGAACAGAGTGGAAGCAGGGAGACCAGAGCAGGGGTGACAGCAAGTGTCCTGGTGAGAGATGACAGTGACCTGGTCGGGGGTGGCAGAATGAACAGTGACCAGTTCATTCTGTACCTGGATGACCTTGCTGCATGCATAGGTGCAAAGCCCAGGGATAGCTGGAAGGGTCTGGATTCTGGATTTATTCAAAGGTAGGCGCTGACAGTATTTGCTAACATGGGGTCTGAGAGAAAAAGAGGAGGAAAGGATCACTCTAGGGTTTTAGACGGACCAACTGGAATGAGTAGTGAGTGACGAAGAAGGGGAGAGAAGTCTCACAGCAACCCATGGGCAAGATGGGTGGGGCAGTGATGGGGGTCGAGAGTTGGTATTTAGACATATTCAAATTGAGATACCCAAGTGGTATGGGAGCGATGACTATATGAAGGCATTTAAAGCCCCAGGCCTGGAAGAGGCCTCCTAGGAGTGAGTGTTAATGGAAGTGAGAAGAGGTCTGAGGGTTAAGGTCCGGGTTCACCAGTCTTTAGGCGTGAGGAGGAGGAGGTACCAGTAAATGCAGGGAAAGAGCATCCTGAGAGGCAGGAGGACAAAGACACAGTGGAGTTCTGGGGGTCAAGGGAACCCACCATTGCCATCTGCTGGGGGTCAGGCTCTCTGCTCTGCTGAGGTGATGTGGTTGGTGCCCCCACTGATACATCTAAGGCCACAAATCCAGTTGGTGGAAGAGTTAAGATTAAAAACATATTCTTCTGACCCTAGTGCAGTGATATCCAACCTGCTGTAGCACTTCTCTAGGAATGGCTCTTATACTGAGGATGTGTGTGTGTGTGTGTGAGGAAATATATCGGTAGGTTCTGCTGGAACAAGCTGCATGTCATGCATGTCATACCTTTCTATGAGTTGTTCCTTTTTAGTAGCCTCAGCCATCAGTTTTTGGGATGGAGGTATCTTACAGAGTCCTGTGAGAAAAATTGGAAACACATTAACATCACATGTATTTTCCTTTGAGTTCTCCTCCTCCTCATTTCTGGCCCCCCACTGCTCTATCCTTAGGACATGTAACAGTCAAAGCTTAGCCTGGAATTAGAGGTAATCTCTGGAGGCAAAGTCCTCCTCCAAACCCACTTAACTAGGGTCATCTACTGCCAGAATTATGATGGACAGCCATGGCCCAGCCCTCAGCCTGCATGGGCCCACTGGTCATCAGCACCTGCTCCAGCTCATTTATCTGCTCACACATCACATATATTCATATATAATATTATTTGTATTATATGGTTTGTATATGCCTGTTTGTATTTATATGTGTGTGTGAAAGCCATTCGTTGGTTAAATGGAAATACTAACATTTGACCTCATTTTTATAACGCTGCTTTGACATGTCTTCACTTTCGTCACACCAGGAGCCTCAAGCGTGGAAGCGCCTGATGGTCTCTCGGCCTCACAAAGCTCTGACTGCTTGAGTGGTGGTGAGGATGTGCTCCGTTTCAGCCTCTCACCTACACAGTCCCAGGGCGTGGGCTCTGCTCTTCTGGCTAGGAGCCAAGTGCTGACTCCAGAGGGTGGGGTTACTGGGTACTTGAGCTAGGTCTGACTTCACTCTGTAGTGTACTTGTCACCAGCATCACTTTATCCTGTAAAAAGTGGGCAAGACTTTACTTGGTGTTTCCCGGATCGTCCCCGGAGGCTCTCTGGAGAAGCATGTAATTACTCCTGGGGTGTGATCTAACCGAGTTTCATTTTGTCAGCTCTATCATTCTGATAGGCATTTTTGACCTCATTATAAAACACTTATAAAAACCCCACCACGTACTTAAGAATCTTTTGTGGTTTTAATATAATCAGATAATGCTGTGAAAGCACTTTAATTGGCCTTAAAGAAATAAAAATTTGTGATCGCTTAATGGAACTGTGTGGATTTGATGTCTATTACATTTGAACAGTGTGAAAGAAGTTGATACTCCTTAGTACTGCATTATATCCTATTTATAAATTATTGGTGATTGTTTTTATCCACTAAGGACACATATCTGCTAAAGGATAGCTGGTTGGCGAAATTGTGATTGTTGTTTATATTTAAAAAGTCATACAAGTGCAATTGTTTAAAATGCTCACTAATCTAAAACTTGCCCTGCTTTAACGAGGTATGATAATAACAGCTGTCAATTTATAGCCTTCACTGTGTGCCAAGAAGGGTGGTGAGTGCTTGGCGGACGTCCATCCTACAAAATCCTTGTGAAAGAGGTTTCATTATCCCCACTGTACAGATGAAATGGCTGAGATTCGGAGAGGTCCTCACAAAGATAATGAGTTTTAGAGTTAGGATCAGACCCCGGTAGCCCTGACCCCATCACTTGTGCTCTTACAGTGAAAACGGACAATTTGGTGTCCAGTGTCTAAAAAATTTTTTACAGGCATTTCTTAAAGGTTACCATCTCCCCAGAACTCAACTTTATCACACAGTGTGCATTATTCCAATAACTTTCTTTGGAAGCGGCACAAAATTCTACTTCTAGAAATAAATGATAAGATTTAGAAGCAAATAAACTAGACTAGACTAGAGTAGAAGAGAATAGAGGATCCTGAAGCTTCAATAATTTCAGTTAATCTGAGAAATGTGATATCTTGTCCAAATTTATTCCATCCACAGAATCAAAACCTTTTCCCCACTCTTATCACGTTAGCGATATAAGCACATCCATGGTAATATTACCCATATATGAAGTTAAGTATCCATTAAACTCTTTTGATATTTTATGTTACTTTAGCTCATATCTGTTCCATTTGGGCTAAATCACAAAGCACTAATTTGAAGACTCAGTTGATCACGTAGGGCTTTAAATAGAGTCAAGTACCTTTGAATACTCTTGTGGCCCAGCGTGCTTGGAGCTCTGTGCTCGCTAAGATGGATCCTTTAAGGCTGACGAGGCCAATGATAGCTAGTGTTGTTCTCTCTAGGTTTGAAGGAAAGACCTGTTTGTACAGGAATATCTTCTTTGTACAAAGGCTTTTAAGAGGTTCTTCAAGAAAGGGAAAAGAAAATGTGTATCCTGTAGCGAAGATCACAATATCGATGTTTTCTTCCACTGTTCCATCTTCAAAGAGAGCAGAGGTTTCTGTAAATTCCTTCAAGCTGGTTTTCATGGTGACTGTCCCACAAAGGATACAGGTTGGCAGTTCGTCATTCACAATGAATTTTGATTTTTTCCTTTGACACAGAAGAGAAAATTATTCATTGTAGTTATATCTGTGAGATACTTGAGCAAACTATTTATTTGGTCAGTTCAAGGAAACTATCTGCCAAGCCAAGGGAGTGAATTTACCAATGTCGAGTTTAAAGTTTCCTATCCAACTTACTGTTGCAATAACACGTTTTGTGTTCCTACTTCCAGTAGAAGGCATGTGGACAATGTTTAAACCTATTCTTTCCTGCTTGGGGTTTAAAATTCTCTTGAAGTTAATTTCTGGAGCAATGCTTTTCTTGAAGCGTCAGGATCGGGTATGCAACAATCCATTTAATAATCAGTTTTGGGTCTCACCTCACCCAGGCCTCAAAGGATTGACATTAGGCAAAGAGGAAGTTACCAAGAAACTTTTTGAATAAAAATAAAAATCTGAATCGATTTATGCTGATAAATATTTTCGTTGTGAACATCATTCTATCTAATCACAACAGACATAATGTCTTTGTAAAATTGACATATCTGGGTACCCGGGTGGCTCAGTTGGTTAAGCGACTGACTCTTGATTTTGGTTCAGGTCATGGTCTCAGGGTCATATGGTCAACCCCACATGGGGCTCTGCGCTGGGTGTCGAGGCTACTGGGAATTCTCTCTCTCCCTTGGCCCCTTTCTCCCTTCCCCGGTCACACATGTGCACACATTCTCTCTTTCTCACTCTCTCTCTCTAAAAAAAAAAAAGACAAATTATCCATTGCCATTAATTTTCTTTATAAGTTGAGAGCTGTCTTACCAAAGAAAAATATTTGGGTCAAGCATAAAATAAAAGTCACATTTAATGACCTTATATTCATTTCAAAGGCTTTCTTTCTCTTGCCATGTGCAACTTTATACAGATATATATTAAAATATGTAATTCTAGGAATTCCTGTTGGAAATGTATCATCTAATCATTCAGCCAGAGATTTATTAAAAGTTATTTATTAAAAGTTAGCTGGCCATCTGTACTTATGATGCTGCAAATATTCCATTTGTAGATGGCAGCATTCCAAGATTCCTCAAAGCCAATTTTAATTTCCTGATTTTCAAGCTCGAAATGTAAAGTTTTTATCCTACGTTTTCTCCTAGCTTAATGAATTACTTACTACTTTTGTTACCAGAGAATATTCCCATTTCAAGGACTGCTGTGGTACCTGATGGACATTGTCTTAATTAAGGAGCTAAGCTCAGAACAGAATAAACAAAGCAGCATGATAATTATTGAAGATTTTGAGTTCTGAATAAAGCAGAATGAAAAATAATTTTCCCATTAAATAAAAAAATTTAAGTACCCCTTTGTAATACTTAATCCATAATTCTCATGGTTAAATCTTTTATTCAATTCCCTCTCTTGAATCCAGTTTAGTACACACGAGGGCAGAACTTGTGCAATAAAATTAAGGTATCTTCTTGTAATCACCATAGTAAGTGGGTAGCCCCCAACTGAAGAGCGGTGGAGAACCCAGGCACCAGTTCTGGTACTGAGAAGTACCTAAAAAGTAAGGAAGGATAAATATATATACATCATTTTGTAGTATTTTTCCTTGGTGTATTTCGAATGTTGTTATAACATCTGTCCTTTTTTAAAATTTTATTTCCAGTTAGTTAACATACAGTGTTATATTAGTTTCAGGTGTACAATATAGTGATTCAACAATTCCATACATCACCCAGTGCTCATCACCACAGGGGCACTCCTTAATCCCCATCAGCTATCTCACCCATCCCCTCAACCACCTCCCCTCTGGGAACCATCAGTTTGTTCTTTATAGTTAAGAGTCTGTTTCTTGATTTGTCTCTCTTTCTCTCTCTTATTTTTTTTCCCTTTGCTTGTTTGTTTTGTTTCTTAAATTCTACATATGAGTGAAATCATTGGGTATTTGTCTTTTCCTGACTGACTCCATTTTGCTTATGAGCATTATACTTTCTAGCTCCATCTATACTGTTGCAAATGGCAAGATTTCATTCATAACATCTGTTCTTAACTGGTAAATTTGTACATAGATCTATAAATGACTGTTTCTGTTGTTGCCGTTGTTTTTGTAAATCACTTTTATCTGATCTATATATCTGTTAAGTATTTTTATCATATTCACTATAAAAAATTATAGGACTAGTAGATGCACTATTCATCTGGCAGGTTTTTTTTTACATCTAAATAATACAGAATTTAAAGCGATGTTTTGAAAAAGCTATTTTAACTGAGTTAAATAAAAATCTATTCTTTCCAAATCGAATCATTGTCCTATAATTTATGTTAAAGTGGAACAGATTTCTAATTTGTGAATCTACGCTTGGACATTCTAAAATCATTACAGACACTTCGTGGGCAGAGTAAAGGTTGCTTTTATTTTAAAAACAAGCATGGTCAGAAAACAACTTCCCTTTTCTATGTTTCTATGGGGGTTTCGCCAGAATTGCAAAGGGAGAGCGTAAAAGAAAGATAATTGGTCTGGGTGGAATCGTTTGTCCATTTGATCTTGTTTCTGAAACAGTGCCTCTGAAGGATGCCTAGTGGTCTGACATCCATACAATTTCCTAGACCCCTCTTGGAGATGGTTCAATCCGGTCACGTGTCGATTTGTTGCACTCATGCTGTGTCCACATGATTTAGCCATTGCCACTGTGTTTTATAATTGTCATACCTCTCTCTGGCCACCAGAAATGATGGTAGGGTGAGGGTGTGGATTCACCCAGGTGTACCTGAGCTGCCGTTCGACTCAGCTCCACTGCCACGTCCCCTGCAGTGTTCCCAAGACCGATCACTAACACGCGCTTGCCTTGAAAGCCTTCTGGGCTCTTGTACTCCTGACTGTGCAGGATCTGGCCTTTAAATTTATGAATACCTGAGGGGAAGGAGGGATCAGAAAATCAGAAGTATCTGAAGCTGTAATTCCCTAGGAGGCAGGCATGGGGTCTGTAGGAAGAGGGAAGTTCCAGAAATATGTCAGCCTTTTGCTCCTGCTGCTAATTGCAGGAAGTAGAAGCAGCACATCATCTCCCTCTCCACTGGATTCTGCGAGCCCAGATAGAGATTTAGTACAACCTGCAGGAGATTGACAAGTACAGGAGAATTTGTATTCCACATGAGTGCTCCCTTTGAAAGCAATTACTTGGGGAAATCAAGCTCACTGCAGACAACAACAAACCTTTCATGCATGACCCTGAACATCGTTAAGCAAGAAATAGACTGCATTTTACCCAAAAGATATAGTCTATGAGAATATGGTTTGTGTACATAACATATTTACAGATTGAATTTTAGTTCAATTACAATTTTCCACAAAAGAAATTTTGTGGCAAGTTCTTTTGTACATAAAGTAATTATTTTTGTGGTTTAAGCTTGTTACTTATACTTAATGTAATTTTACTTTATTATATGCTTAATGCTTTATTATACCGTGCGCTTGTTTATACTCTTTTCTTACATTATTTATATTTGTGTTACTGACCACCTTTCAAGTTCCTAACACTCTGTTAATAGAAGTATCACTATTATGGTATTTATGTATATGAGAAGGGTTCTCAAATATTTCTTCTCTTGATTTATTTTTGGTGACTATCTCCTTGGCATCTATAAAAGACATAAGCCATGGATTCATATAAATGAAGCCTGGTAGTAACAGAAGAAGTAGAGGTGTTTCCAGTGGCGGCTGCAGCCACGGGAATTATGAGGTGGCAGAAGGAATAAGAGTGATGGGGGCAGTGACCGTCAGACCCACAGATGGGTGAGACAAAGCTCTGACAATGAATCTGAAAGGGAAGCTCTGCAGTTCAGAGGGTTTGACAGCTTTGCACCTCAATACTTCAAGTATTTCTGAAATTTTAAAATAAAAAGATGAAACTAGGGGTGCCTGGTTGGTGCTGTTGGTTAAGCGCCCAACTCTTGGTTTCAGTGCAGGTGGTGGTCTCAGGGTTGTGATCTCAGGGTCATGAGATCGAGCCCGCAGCAGGCTCTGCACTCAGTGGGGAGTCTAAGACTCTCTCTCCCTGTCTCTCTGTTCCTTCCCCCACTCTCTCTCTCTAAAACAAATAGACATAGGGGTGCTTGGGTGGCTCAGTCAGTTAAGCGTCTGCCTTCAGCTCAGGTCATGATCCCAGAGTCCTGGGATTGAGTCCCGCATCAGGCTCCCTGCTCGGCGGGGAGCCTGCGTCTCCCTTTGCCTGGGGCTCCCCCTGCTTGTGCTTGCTCTCTCTCTCTGACAAATAAATAAGTAAATAAGTAAATAAATAAATAAATAAAATCTTAAAAAATAAAATAGAAATAAATCTAAAAAATAAAAAGATGAAACTGTCTCCCAGAATCTATCATTCTCCTATCATATATTGATTGATTGATTGATTTACTTAATAACATTTATTGCACAGGTAATATGTGTAACACAATATTTTAATTGGATTCTTTGCCTCCTAAGGCCCCCCAAGCTGGAAACTGAATACAATGCTGGCCGTATTCCAAGGGACGCATTAAACCCACTGTGCAGGATTTGCAAAGAATGTGTATGCAGACCCGTTTTGGCAGGTGAGAATTCCACCACTGAACCACCCATGCTGCAGACCCGTTTTGGGATCCCTAGCACCTCACTCACTTTTGGGGATTGGAGTTGAAGTGGCCAGGAGCTGGAAATTGGAGAATTTCAGGAATGAACTTAAAGTGCTGTGACGTTTTCTGTCCCCTGGACATGGGGGCACGTTTGAGGGGCTGCAAGGAGACCACTGTGAGACCTTGACCCTTGGAGTCTCTGAAGCCTGGGGCCTGGTGTTTGACCCAAGCTTGACAGGCTGTGGCTACAGCTGCTTGCAAGGGGAGCTGGCTGCCCTGGTAGCAAGTTTTTCCTCCCCCAGCTCAACATCAGTCTTACAACTACTTGTGAAAGATCCATGGTGATTAGTGAAAAGCAGAAAAGGCATCTTTTTTTTTTTTTTAGAATCTTCTGAAGATTTTATTTTTTTAAAATTTTATTTATTTGTCAAAGAGAGAGCACAAGCTGGGGGGGAGATGCATAGGGAGAAGTAGGCTCTCCGCCGAGCAGGACTCGATCCCAGGACCTCAAGATCATGACCTGAGTTGAAGGCAGATGCTTAACTGACTGAGTCACCCAGGTGCCCCAGCAGAAAAGGCATCTTAAAAAGAGTAAACCTTGGCCAGATGTCAGAGGGGTTTTGACAGCATTTGAAATCATTACCCAAACAGTTGTAGCTCTCTTGCATTCTGGTCTAAGTAAAGATTGACAGAAATTCTGGTATTTATTCCCAAACTGTTCAGATTTTGGCCAGGGCTTTGTCTTCCAATGCCTTGTCATTTCCTTGAGGAAATTGTGTGATGACTTGATGTTATTTTTTTGGATTGCTGTCATGTTTGAAATATTTACTCTACCACTGAAGGAGTACAGGACATGCTACCCAAAATGTGCCACTTTGATATATTTATTATTTTCAAGTGAAGGATCTTGAAAAACAGCAAAGGCAGGGAGAGGCTTTCTCTGAACTCCCCTCATCTGCCTTGGAAAGGACTCCTATGGTCATAAATCTCTTCCCTGGCAGTTTCATCAACCAGGGAAGATCGGTTCTTATATCACAGAAGAGGACCGTAGAAGTCTATACCCAGACAAACGTCACAAATGATCGTATCTCCCATCCACTCTTCTAAGAGCCCATTCATCTTTCTAGAAACATTTGCTCTCCCCTGGATGGCCTACATCCCCTCCCCTTTCCCTATGAAGATGGTATATAAACACTCAAATCTCACAGCTTTTTTTTGGTATTCATTATTTTCCTATGGTGCCCCCACATTAGTATTAAAAATTAATAAATCTGTATACCTTTCTCCCTTCTAATCTGCCTATCAAACTGAGGAGGGTAGACGGAAAGTCTTTTCTCCCTTACAAAACAGAGCTGTGCATTTCAGCATACATATATGCAGAATGGGGGTCTTTTTTTTTTTTTTTTGACAATTCACCTGTAGTTTTTTTTTTTTAAGATTTTATTTATTTGACAGAGAGATAGCGAGAGCAGGAACACAAGCAAGGGGAGTGGGAGAGGGAGAAGCAGGCTTCCCGTGGAGCAGGGAGCCCGATGCGGGGCTCGATCCTAGGACCCTGGGATCATGACCTGAGCCGAAGGCAGAAGCTTAACCGACTGAGCCACCCAGGCGCCCCACCCATATTTTTTTTTTTACAGAAAAAAGGCAACGTCAGCCAGGACACATGTATGTACATCCTCCTTTTTCTAAACCAGAGCAATAAGAAACTTTAACATTAATAACTTCTAAACTCAGGCAGATGGAACTTCAATTTAATGTTTCATCTGAATGGAGTGGGGGTCGTTTTAGAAAGAAAGAGATTATAATCTTTTCCCTCAGAATAAATTGAGGGCAGGGAATCCTTAATAGATCCAAAGGACATTTTGTATTGCAGTTCTAATAACACTTATAGAGTGATTACATGGATTTTTCTCACAATAACCCTTTGAAGTCTATACTATTTTTACACATCTTACATATGTGGAAACAGATTTGTAGGGATTATGTGATTTTTGTGACATCACACTTGTCAATGAATAGAGAGCTGGGAACTTACTTCAATTAATTAATTAACAATTAATTAATTTGTAAGTAGGTTCCACATGCAACGTGGGGTTTGAACTTGTGACCCTGAGATCAAGAGTTGCACAGTCCACTGACTGAGCCAGCCAGGTGCCCTGAGAGCTGGGAATTTATCTATCTATCTATCTATCTATCTATCTATCTATCTATCTATCTATCTATCTATCTATCATCTATCATCTATCTATCATCTATCATCTATCTATCTATCAAGATTTTATTTATTTATTTGACAGAATGAGAGACGGCAAGAGGGGGAACACAAGCGGGGCTCCATCCCAGGACCCTGGGATCACGACCTGAGCCGAAGGCAGACGCTTAACGACTGAGCCACCCAGGAGCCCCGAGCTGGGAATTTAAATGCAAGTACTTTGATGCAAGATCCTGGACTTTTAACGTCCGTGTTATGCTCCAGTACCCTCCCCTGTTTCTTCCAGTATCATTCTGTCATGGCTTTGTGCACGGTAAATTGCATTGTTGTTACTCAAAGAATGAATTCATGTTACAGTTTAGCAGGAAGTTACCTTTTACAAAAAAATCTTAATGAATTGTGCTCAGCCAGGTGCTTCCACAGTTATTCTCTCAAGTCAGATTTGCAGCAATCCTCCTGGAGGGGGTAGTTATTCATCCTTGTCTTACAGGTAAATCCATTAGTGCTTAGAAAGGTTAAGTGATTGGCTTAAGGCCATATAATTAATAAGTACCAGAGACAGGATTTAAATTCCAGTTTTATGACTCCAATTTTGTGCTACCTTTCAAGCTATTTTTTTTCCCCTCAAATGACTTAAGTGATTGAGTTTGCCCTGGAAATAGAAAATAATTATCTTTAACTTGGCACCAGTAATTTTTTTTCCATTTCTTTTTCTGCAAAAGAGTGGGTAGAATTCTTTCATGCCAACACCCATAAGTTCCACTGAGCTGTTCTAGGTCCTGTTCTAGGTCCTGTGCTAGGCACTCCATGGCTAGCAGCTGATTTCATCCTCAAGCAACCCTAGGAAAAAGGTGCTATGAGTACTTCATTTTACAGGTGGAGAAATAGGGACTTAGGACACAGGATTTGCCCAGGTGCCAATAAACGTCAGAGGCACAACTTGAACTTAACCACATGGTAACCACAGGGCGAGGCTGCCTCTACTCGGACTATGGAAATGATTCTTAACCTTTAGTTTCCATCAGAATCACATTGCTGGGGAAACATTAGGATTCCAGGGTCCCAATTTCGGAGGTTCTTATTCTGTAAATACCACATTAACTTGCTTTTAAAATAAGCACCTCAGGTCTTGGTGGTTGTTGGGAAACACTGTGCTGAGGTCAAAGCCTACATCTATCATTAAACTAGTTCTTTTCCTTCAGGCTGTTTTCATAAAAGACTGTTGGGTAACTGACTTCATTCAGTAAGCACATATTAAACATATACTATTGTCACGGAAAATTACTTCAAGGTTCAGCTTTCATTTTTACTGTATTTTCCTTTTTCTATTTGACATCCGTGTATGGGGATGGGGACAGGGAGAGGAGAACTGGGGACTACTGAGCACTTCTGGAGTGCCATCCCCTCACTTTGGGGAAGTCTAATGCAATATAATAAATGCATCATTTGATGCCAAGGAAATGCAACATTTAGGGGAGAGAAGTTTTCAGACAACTGGGCAATTTAACACAGAAACATCAAAATCTTAATTTTTTTTTACAGAAATCTTTCTGAAGGGTATTATATATTTTATGTACTAAAACTAGAACATACTGATAATTCAAGGTCATCCTTATAACCTTCGATTATTACATTGTCCTCTTATACAGTGACACCCTCAGGGTCTGCCGAGGGGCATGGGGCTTAGTCTGTCTTGTCACTAATTATCTCTGGAACGCTTTGCTGCTGTGGTTTGTTCATCTTGTATTTATCGCCCTAAGGTTATGTGTTAGGAAATGCACTTGAATTCCATTTATCATGCTCACAAAGTTTAAAGAGATTTATTAATAATTGATCAAACACAATTAGGCATTCACATCACTCATCTATAACTAACGATCACACTTGATATGTGGTCAGAGAGTCACTCTTACACACCTTTTGTGTGTGGGAGAGGGATGCAGAACTCGTGTCTGCGTTACCCGCCCAGGGGTTCCCACCTGGGATACAGGAGGAGCTCGAACTCTGGGGTGGGATGGCTGCCGAGGCGGGAGTTATAACAGAGGGGTGGATAGTTCTTAGTCTGGGGGAATCACATGGCTCTTAGGAAGCAGCTCCTTCTGAACAGTTCTCAAAGGGTTCATACCAGTTCCCAGTAGGTCATGAGTCACAGCGCTGGTAGCTAACGTTGATGGAGTGCTCCTATGTGCTCTGTCCTCCGCTGAGTGTTTTACATGGATGATCTCATTGAATTCTCTATGAAATGGAGTCATTGGGTGAAGTTTACCCAAGATTCTGCAATTAGAACCGGGATGTGCTCCAGGCTGCTGACTTTAGGATTTTGTTCATAACTAGTGTGCTAAAGGTCACTTATCATCAAGGGTCATTGCCCTGAGGGAACTGGAGCAGATCAGACCTCCTTAGAAAACTTCCACTGTGTCCACTCACCAGGATTCCTCATTCTGGGAAGAAGACAGAGGAAACTGGGGTATCTGTCCTGGTGTCCCGCTGTCACAAATCCTTCTAGAGTCTGGTCGTAAACTTAGACCTCCTGAGGAGGATTGCTGAAATCTGTATGTGTGGATTTCTTCCTTTTCCATAATCTGGGCTTTGGGGCAAAAGAGAAGGGCACACCAATACTTCTAATGCAATCATTTCTTCCCCAGAGATCATTAAGGTATAGAGAAACGTTTGCTCTCGAAATGATCTCAAACTACCTTGCGATTCTATTATATGTTTGCCCAGTCTCTTTCCTTGGAACCAACTCTTCCAGATTATACACTTTTAAACTGCCACAAGGATCCTCACCGCTCAGTACTTGCCTGATCTTCTGCAATAGCATCTTTTAGTCAGAGTCTAAGTGAACTGAGGGTAAGCCAAGCCAAACCTGACAAGACACTACATTCCAAAAACATCAATTATTTGACACTTGTAACACATCTCCCCGTAGAAACTTCTTTCTAAAAGGTGCTTCTATATTTCTTTAGTCCAGTGCCATTGTGTTTTTAGCCCACAGGCTTGCTGCAAGTCTGAAGTCCAACCACCATTTATACAATTGCTTCTTCGCAAAATTATGCGCCGAAGTCTCACTTGATCCCTAAAACATTCGTTTAAAGTGGGATAGTTTGTTAATTTGAGATTACGTTGATAAGATTTACAAACATTTTGGTTTTTTTGTTTTATTGGCCCAGGTGTGCAAGTTTTATTCTTCACACTCTTCCTTAAACGTTCTTTCAATTCCTTAATGAAGTTTCCAAACTTCACTTACTCAATTGCCTTTAAAGCCACTTATAAGTGACAGAAGAAGAGTAGCTGTACTACATTTTAATAATCCTCATTTGATCTCAAAAGATGGAGATCTGCCAATCATCAGTATAGCTGCCTCTTGAACAACAATGGGCTTGAACTATGTGGGGACACTTACACATGGATTTTTCTCAGTAAATACCATACAGTACTATAAATGTATTTTCTCTTCCTTATGGTCTTCTTGGTAACACTTTCTTTTCTCTCGCTTACTTTGTTGTAAGAATATGGTATATAATATATAACATACAAAATATGGGTTAATCAACTGTTTATATTATTAATAAGGCTTCCAGTCAACTGTAGGCCATTAGTAGTTAAGTTTTTTGGGGAGAGTCAAAAGTTATACGGGGATTTTTGACTATGCAGGGGGTCAGCATCCCTAACCCCTGGGATGTTCAAAGGCCAACTGTACATTTCAAAAAATGTGCTGTTGGAGTCAAAAGCGTTTCCAAAAGGAATTTCTAAAACTCCTTTGTGGTGACAGCCTTGGTATAAGAGATGTGTGGATTATTATTGTGGTGACTGTTTTGAAGGATGAAACTATTTCTTTGGATGTATAATTGCTGCTCTGTTTCTTAAAAACAAATCTGTCAAGTTTCTTTATACTCTCACTTCCTTTAAGTTACTGAATTACAGATCACTCCTGATTCAAATGACCTGTAATTCAATGACAAAATTCAAAAGCTCGCATTTTTTTTTTATGACACCTCAGCCTTATGTGATCATTGAACTTGAATCAGACAGGCATGATAAACTTCAGTAATGGCAGCATTTATATTGATAAGTAAATAAGAAGACACCTACATAGTGCTTTATACCTTTCAAAGATCTGTACATATTATTTCTTAGGGTGAACACAGAGTCGTCTCTAATCATTAGGAATTATTTCCAATTCAAAAAATGACTTTCTTCAAGGAGAACCCAGAAGAGTAGACATGGTCTCAGGTAGAAATGACTCACCAGGAAAGGACTCCAAAGGTAAATGGGGATTCAGGTAATGTCCGGTGCAAACCATGACAGCATCAAAGACAGCTCGTTCCTGCTTCCCCTCGGTCTCTGTGACAACATCCCATTGACCGGTTTCAGAGAAGTCTGGACGCTTCGTTATACTGCACACCGTGGTCTGAAAGTGGCAGACAAACACTCACTTTCTGTCAATCACCTTGGGACCTCATGAAATGGCTGGTATGGTAACCATGTTTGTTATTCCATGTGGGCCAAACCTGTCTCAGGGTAAGAGGTCTGTCAATATTGGTTTATCTTCCTGATAAAGAAATTAAGTAACCTGTACAAAGTCTCAAAAGCTGTCCTAGTGCAGGACCCAAAACATCTGCATGCCTTCACTGGAAGGAAGAAACACTTAGTTCTTATTCCCAGTGAGGAGATGAGTTACAATACCGAATGCATTGGGAAAATGTAGGAAGAGTTTTGGCTCATTATAATTTCTGTGGTTCAGATTCCTAGTCATTTCTTCCCAGCAGGTTTCATGAACAAAATTCATTTTTCCTTTCGTCTCAAGAAAAAAATTTCTAAATCGCATCCCAAATAAGAATTTGGATTCAGAAGAGGACTCAGAAAAGTCGGTATCTTAATGATTTATTTGAGTAAAACATGAGAAATGGGAGAAGTGAGGAGCCTTTATTATCTACCTTATTCAGATAGAGATAAAATCAGGAATAAATTTACTTAGGATCTCCTTTCCATTAGATTGCTGAATGGGCAGCCCCCATTCATTAACCTTCCATAGCCCAAGTTGTCTTACCCTAAACCGAATGTATTTCAGAAGGTCAAAGTGCTCAGCAAATTCTTTGAGATAGTCCCAAAATTTTCCTTGGTTCATGAAATTGGGATAATCTTCTTGGAAGGGGAAGTCACTATAACATGACATTTCTTTGCAGACATTTGTCATTAATGATCTGTAGACCCTGGTCATCCCATCTTTAGAAGTTTCCTGTGGTGAAACATAGTTAGCTTGATGGGGTGGGGGAGGCAGGAAGAAAAAAGATTCCATTTGTAATTCCAAAGAGTTCCAGGAAAACAGCATTGGATCTCCATGTTATAGTTGTCAGAAATCATTGGTGAGATTGGAATTATTAAACACAGTATCCTTCTCAAACTACAAAGAAATTAACAAAATTTAGCAGGCCTCTCCAAGACTAACATTGCCATTCAGTGATTCCATGAACATGGGGCCTACGGTCTGACTTGCTTATTTTTTTCTTCTTTTTTTTTTGCCATCCTCAATCTCTCCACTCATGAGGACTTCTTCCTCTTGCCTTTGCTCACAGAACTGCTCACTGATTTTTGTATTTATTGTCTAGGTATATTTTCTTTTTCTTGTTTTTAGATTTATTTATTTATTTTAGAGAGAGAGAGCACATATACAAGTTGGGGGGAGGAGCAGAGGGGGAGAGAGAGAATCTCAAGCAGACTCTGCACTGAATGTGGAACCCAATATGGGGCCTGATCCCATGACCCTAAGATCATGACCTGAGCCAAAATGAAGAGTTGGACGCTTAACTGACTGAGCCACCCAAGTCACCCATCATGTATATTTTCAGTCACTTTCTCTTTATTGGCTCCTTCCCATCAGCACTTATACTGAAGACTCTAATTTTATTTTATTTTATTTTTTTAAGATTTTATTTATTTATCTGACAGAGAGAGAGAGAGCACAAGTAGAGGGAGTGGCAGAGGGAGAGGGAGAAGCAGGCGTCCCGCGGAGCAGGGAGCCCGATGAGGGGCTCGATCCTAGGACCCTGGGATCATGACCAGAGCCAAAATCGAGAGTCAAACGCTTAACTAAGCCACCCAGACACTCTTATTTTCTTTTTCTTTTTTTTTAATAACTCAAAATTATTTTCTAAAATTTATCTGTATTACTTTAGAGTGGGGGAAGAAAACCAAATCAACCGTGGGGTCAAATAGCAGAAGGTACAAAAACCAGACCCAGTGTTTTCTTTCCACATTGACATTTGGTGGCTCAATCAGGGTCACAGTACACCAGAAGAAGCTTTTTCCCCTAGCACACTATAATCCTAGGGTTGTGACCATACCTGCTTACATACATTTGCTATTTCTGTTTTCTTCACCATGTATCAAGGACTGGCCCATGCCACCTTCTCCATGAAGGCTTCCCTCATACCAGTTTGAAGTACTCTCCTCCACCATGAGCTCCCACTGAACGTTGCTTTTCAATTACTACTGAAACATCCAGTACTTAGGCCGCCTATCTTCTGACACTTTATACTCCACCAATGGGACGGATCCCTAGGTCCCTGCTGAAGATCCTGCTACTCCCAGTTACCAGGACCAATCCTGGTCCAAGGCAGGTGGTATTTAGCCACTTCCAGCCCTTACTTCTATTGCTCAAGTCACCTAACAGCTGGCCTAGCCCTACGTGTAACCCCCCCAGGATGCACATTCCACTCCTTAGAAGGATTGATCAGTGCCTTGGCTCTTTTTATTGTGATAATGTGAAAGCTACCCAACCGCCTACCCCAACCTTTCAGGGTCTGGATTCTTGCTTCACTCTTGCCAATTCTCTTCCCAAAGACCTGAATAATCCTGTGGGCTGGAGCTCCACTCCCTGATGCCAACTTCCATCCTTCCAGAAGCGTCATCTGCTCCATATTCACAAATGCCATTCAGCCTAACCTATGAGACACTGTTGCTTTGTCTCAGAATGTCCATGGTCTAGAAATCACTGTAACTTCCAATACTATGTTTGTGTATCAGACTTAACTCTTCCTTCCTCCCTCTTCCAACTGCCCCTGCCCTGCCAAGTCTCTAAGTTCATCACTATGCTGCACACAAGCCTGTGGTGTTGCAGTGAGCTGCTTTTTTAGGTGATCATCAAGGTAGGCTGAAGCCACCATGCATGAACAGGGACAAAGCAGACCGCCAGATTATGACTGATGGAGGTGGGAGGGTACAAACTACGCACAGTAAACTTCCATAGTCCCCCGATGTCATTACTTCTCTCAAAGCAGGTGGGCTCCAGGTCCTCATCTAAGCAGCACTTGATGGAGGACAGGCCACTCACACCAGCTCCAATCACTGCAACTCGCCTGGCCATGGTACTCTGTTGGGGCAAAGTTGGGCTGAGCTTCTTTATATGACAAGACTGGAAGGAACCTCCTGTCATAGAACTCAACTCTTATAGTGGTATACACACCCTCTTTGAGCTGAGACAGATTCACATTTTGGTTAAAAATGAAATCAGACTCTGGAAATCAGAGTGTTTGGTTTAAATCTTAGTGTCACTTACTAATAGTGTGACCTTGGACTAGCTGTTTGTCTTCTCTGGGCCTCGGTTTTCTATTGAGTACAATGGGAATGGAAATAATAATAATAATAATATCTTAAATATTTGTTATGAAATGAAATGATTGATATGTTGGAAGGATTGTAGAAGTGTGTCTCCTACATAGTAAGTGCTCATTTAAATTTAGTTCTTATTATTAATTAGTATAGTTAGGACCTTGATCCCCTTGAGACTTTATTTATTTTTGTTTAATTTTTAAACATGTTTTGTTATTAGTAGTAGTGTTTAAGTAGGCTCCATGCCCAACGTTGGGCTGGAACTCATGACCCTAAGATTAAGAGTCGCATGCTCTACTGACTGAGCCAGCCAGGTGCCCCTTGGGACTCTAGATCCCCTCAGTATTAAAAGGGCCCTTTGCTACCACCTAGTCCCTCTGGACCCTAGGAACTGCAGCTAGCAAAAATGTTAGTTTTATTCAAAGCATCTAGAGTCCTGAAGAATAGCTGGCCATGGGTCATCTCCTGCCATACAACAAAGATATTCCATGAGTTAAGGGCGGGCCTTAATCTTGCACAGAGGCAAGACAGACTGACCATAATTTAGAAGAAAGCCCCCAAAGAAAGTTATATGGGACATTCTAGATGAGGTCTTATAGAAATGTGGAAGCCCATGTTTGTCAGTAGAGACTGGAGGAAGTATGTGTCCCAGGGATTTATAGCCAGTTTTTCTTGGTATTATAATCTGGATTTCTGCAAACATCGATATAGCTTTTGTATTGACAGATGGGTTAACCACTCAGTTAATCCCAGCAAATTGGCTATGTTGAAGAATTGTCTGAGTTTTAAATGAAGTGACATTACTTATACAAAAGTGCCTACCACCAAATATTTATCAGTGTTCATTCCCTAATTGTCTCCCTCTTTCCCTCTCTTTCTCCTAGAAAAGACAGCTCACAAAGACAAAATTAATCAGCAAGTTTGGAAATAAATAGGCATATATACCTGTGGGTTCCTTTGGGTTGAGGAGTCGGATTTCTAGACAGCTTTTAATCAGAAATGAATGGCCTCCGCCAATAAAAACACTGGAATTTCCAGGCCACTAGGTAGAAGCCTGAAGTTGGTCCATCTCAGTTGTGCTCTGTCTTTGCAGTAATAACACAAAAGAAATTGTTGCTTAATTGAACTGGTAAAGTGCAAAATGGGCTACAGTGAATAGACTGGCAGCAAACTGATTCATTCAACAACGCACCCTGGGTATCTCTAAGTGCAGTTACTGAGTCAAGTGTGAGGGACCCAAAGATGAAGACCCGATGACTAAATAATAGTACTAAATAGACCCAGTGACTGTCCACAAGGAGACGCCACCATATGGAGAGATGTGGACACACATGATATCACATGGTACGTTCCTGTAATAGCAGCGTGCTCTGGGTACAGACGTTTGCAGCACTGTTGGGCTGTTTAACTCTGCCTGGAGGCCTAGTTAGAGACGCTGAGTGGGCTGTGTTTTTCTGGGGTGAAAACACCTTGTCCTTTACAGACCAACTTAAGAGACTGTTCAGGCCGCAAAAACAAACTGGGAATTTATGTCTCTTAAAATTACACAACACTTGCAGATTACAAATCTCCGAGTGAGGGCAGTGATTTAAAAAACAGGCTTCGAATCACTGAGGGAAGTTGGTGAGTGAATTGGAAATGGGCAGATGTGGGTTCTAGTTCTCCCTCCGCCTCTAACCAGCTGTATACATTTAAACAATATCTTTATTTCCCTGTGAGATTGTTCCCACATTTGTAAAACAGAGGTTTCTAGTAGTTTTCCCCTTTTCCCTTCCAGCCCAAGAGAATTGTTTTTATGTCTGAATGACAAGTATTTGGTACCAAAATAGGTGTGAATTGAAAGGTAGGAGAGATACTGCAGGCTTGAAGGATGGGGGGGGGAAACAGTGGGGGTGGAGGCTGGGGGCTGGGTAGGGTGAAGACATAAGGTGTGTGTAAGCTCTTTGTAAACTAGAAAGGGTGCTATGAATGGAAGGTCCTCTGTAGCTCAAATGTTGCTTATAATGAGTTCCTTGGTAGAGATGAGCCCTAAACTATTGAACTGGCTTTTGAATGACATGAAAACCCCATCCCAAACCTGCCAGACCAGAAAATGTAGGAATCATTTTCGAGACATGGAGAGATTTGGGTGATTTGCAAATCATGCGGTGGATTATGATTTATTTGAATCTCATCTGTTTATATTTCTTATCATCACCTACCAATGCCCTTACATTGTTATAGAATTTCCTAATACCAAACTGTGGAGGATTTTATGTTTCCCAATGCCTGGCACTACCAGCTCATCCATCAGATGAAATCAGAGGTGAGAAGAGAATTATAGAAAGTCCCATGATTCTATGATTCCAACCAACACCTTTCTTTCAATGGTTTCTCCCTACAACCTAACTTTGTTTCCTTACAATGCTCCTTTGCTTTCTGACTTTCTCCTTAATTTAACCCTAATCAAGAGGCTCCTGAAGAAGAGAATCACATACATTTCTAAGGAATGCACTTACCAAGGAGAATATTCATCCGCTGCAAAAGCAGTTTCTGGAAACAGCTCCCCATTAAAAAAAAAAAAGACAACAGCAAAGAAGAATAATCCAGGACACTTACCTTGTTGGCACAGAGCAGATACTCTGACAAATTATTTCTCAAAGCAAATAGACAAAGACAGTGTTTGCCTTAAATTATTTTTTTCGAAACTCAAAGTCTTTGTTCTAAAAGGAAAACAAAGGAAAGCTGACTTTGATCAAGTGGTCTCAGTGAAACAAAACCATTTGCCTTCCCAGTCATCCTGGTGACAGCAGAAAGTGTCCCACTCACCGAGGATAAAAAGTTGTGTAGGACAAGAGCTGGATACTTCCGTGATCTCAGGGGAGGGCTAAATGACGAGTTACAATACTGGCTTTGGAATCAAAGAACATAACTACTTCTGCCCCTTTTCCCCACCCTCTTAAACGTCACAGTTCCGGCAAAGCCGGAAACTTCAAGGAAAGCTTGTTCAGCGGCTGCTCTTCTCATGGTAACCTTTAGAGGGCGCCAAAGTCACCTCCAACGTCACAGCCGTTCCCGAAACAGGCCTGCGGCTTGCCAAACACTTTTGCATCATTAGTCCTTTGAGCCATCATAGGGGCAGTCCAAAGAATAAAGTAATTTAGGTGACTGTCACCTCATCAAGTTCTTTCATGTCTAGAGCTCTCTAACCCCAGAAATATGATTTTAAAATCCAGAATTTATAAGGGATTTAAGCAGTGTCATCCTTTTAGAAAGGGTCAGCAGAGGGAGCTGGTAAAACGAGTTTGAGAAAGCATAAAATTAGTTTTAAATATTAGCCTAGGGAACCGTACAAAAGAATAATTACAGAAGCAACAATAGAATACTAAATAGGCACCATCTTTTTTTCTTCTCCATCAAGTGCTTGGAAGCTGGCCATCTTAAGTTCATTGAATGGTTTCTGGACCAGGAGCACAAATGCAATGTCCACAGGGGTCAGGAGGGTAACTCAAAGGAGGAGAGGGCCAGGTTAAGATCGACTGGAAAGCACATCTCCAGTCTGTTAGCTTCAGGTAAATGGTGCTATTTGAGAACATGAGCCCAAAATTGCAATTTTAGACTCTTCAGTAGAAAATGAAAATCCAGATTTTTATATGAAATCTTCAGTTGGTAACAAATTAATTTTTTCTTTTGAAAACTATTATGCTCTCAGAAAATTTGAAAGAACGGTTTTGTTAATGAACAACAATGTATCCCTCACCCATATCTTCAGCCATCAACCTCTTGGTACATTTTCTTCTTCTCTTAATACACACACACACACACGCACACACGTGCACATACACACACCCATCTGAGTATAGTCTTTATTATTTTTTTTGAAGATTTTATTTATTTATTTGAGAGAGAGAGAGAGATTGAGAGAATGAATGGGAGGAGGGGCAGAGGGAGAAGCAGGCTCTGGAGCCCGACGCAGGACTCGATCCCAGGACCCTGGGATCATGACCTGAGCTGAAGGCAGATGCTTAACCGACTGAGCCACCCAGGCGCCCTGAGTGTAGTCTTTAAACACCAGGGATGCCATCAGGATATTCCAGCATATATCTCACAAGAATAGAGGCACTCGTCCACACATTCACATTACTATTACCACATCTAAGAAAATCTATATAAATTCAATAATACCAGCCAACATACCCAGTCTACTTTCAAATTTCTTCAGTTGTCTCCAAAGCGTTCTTATCTAGTGGCATACCAGAGCTGGCTTGTACAGTGAGAAGGTGTGCATCTCTTCCAACTCCAAGTTCAGTGATATCACAGTAGCTGGACATTCATTGGTCAGGGTGGGAATATTTATACCATGGAAATTGGCAATTACGCTAAGTCTGGGATCCTCTCTATCCCATGGCTAGTTTATTGGCACACCACTCTTTTTTGAGGTATAACTGATACACAGAAAAACCCTGCATATATTTAATGAATGTAATTTGATGAGTTTGGAGTTTGGACATATTCCATACACTTGTGAAACCATCACCACAATCAGGATAATAAACATACCCATCACCTTCAATAAGTTTCCTCATGCTCTTTTGTTTGTTTTTGGCAAGAATACTTGATGTGAGATCTACCCTTTTAACAAATTTTGATGTGCACAATATGTATTTTAACTATATGCACTATGTTGGACAGCAGATTGCTAGAACTTATTCATCTTGCATAACTGAAAATTTATTTATTTATTTATTTATTTTTAAAGATTATTTATTTATTTGAGAGGGAGAGAGAGCACAAGCCGGGGGAGCAGCAGTCAGAGGGAGAAGCAGGCTCCCCGCTGAGCAGAAAGCCCGATGCGGGACTTGACCCCAGGACCCTGAGATCATGACCTGAGTCGAAGGCCGACACTTAACCAACTGAGCCTCCCAGGAGCCCCGAACTGAAACTTCATACACGTTGAACAACTCCTTATTTTCCTCTGCCCCCAGTCGGCAACCACCATTCTACGCTCTTCTTCTTTTTTTTCTTTCTAAATATTTTATTAATTTATTTGACAGAGAGAGACACAGCAAGAGAGGGAACACAAGCAGGGGGAGTGGGAGAGGGAGAAGCAGGCTTCCCATGGAGCAGGGAGCCCAATGCGGGGTTTGATCCCAGGACCCTGGGATCATGACCTGAGCCGAAGGCAGATGCTTAAAGACTGAGCCACCCAGGCGCCCTTATTGTGTTTTTGATAATAGCTATCCTAACAGGTGATATTTCATTGTGGTCTTCATTTGCATTTCCCTGATGATTAGTGATTTTGAGCACCTTTTTATATATCTGTTGGTCATTTGTATGTCTTTTTAAGAGAAATGTCCATTCAAGAACTTAGCCCATTTTTTTTCTTTTCTTTTTATTCTTATGTTAATCCCCATACATTACATCATTAGTTTTAGATGAAGTGTTCCATGATTCATTGTTTGTGCATAACACCCAGTGCTCCATGCAGAATGTGCCCTCCTCAATATCCACCACCAGGCTAACCCATCCTCCCACCCCCCTCCCCTCTAGAACCCTCAGTTTGTTTTTCAGAGTCCATCGTCCCTCATGGTTCGTCCAGCCCTCTGATTTCCCCTGCTTCATTCTTCCCCTCCCGCTACCACCTTCTTCTTTTTTTTTTTCCTTAACATATATTGCATTATTTGTTTCAGAGGTACAGATCTGAGATTCAACAGTCTTGCACAATTCACAGCGCTTACCAGAGCACATACCCTCCCCAGTGTCTATCACCCAGTCACCCCATCCCTCCCACCCCACCCCCCACTCCAGCAATCCTCAGTTTGTTTCCTGCAATTAAGAATTCCTCATATCAGTGAGATCATATGATACATGTCTTTCTCTGTTTGACTTATTTCACTCAACATAATACCCTCCCAGTTCCGTCCACGTTGTTGCAAATGGCAAGATCTCATTCCTTTTGATGGCTGCATAATATTCCATTGTATATATATACCACCTCTTCTTTATCCATTCATCTGTCGATGGACATCTTGGCTCTTTCCACAGTTTGGCTATTGTGGACATTGCTGCTATAAACATCGGGGTGCACGTACCCTTTTGGATCCCTACTTTTGTATCTTTGGGGTAAATACCCAGTAGTGCAATTGCTGGATCATATGGTAGCTCTATTTTCAACTTTTTGAGGAAACTCCATACTGTTTTCCAGAGTGGCTGCACCAGCTTGCATTCCCACCAACAGTGTAGGAGGGTTCCCCTTTCTCCGCATCCCCGCCAACATCTGTCATTTCCTGACTTGTTAATTTTAGCCATTCTGACTGGTGTGAGGTGGTATCTCATTGAGGTTTTGATTTGGATATCCCTGATGCCGAGCGATATTGAACACTTTTTCATGTGTCTGTTGGCCATTTGGATGTCTTCTTTAGAAAAATGTCTGTTCATGTCTTCTGCCCATTTCTTGATTGGATTCTTTGTTCTTTGGGTGTTGAGTTTGATAAGTTCTTTATAGATTTTGGATACTAGCCCTTTATCTGATATGTCATTTGCAAATATCTTCTCCCATTCTGTCGGTTGTCTTTTGGTTTTGTTGACTGTTTCTTTTGCTTTGCAAAAGCTTTTTATCTTGATGAAGTCCCAATAGTTCATTTTTTAAGATCGGTCAGTATTATCTAGTTTGCTACTGCTGAAACTGTTCTCCTGAAATAGCCTTTTAATTAGTGTCCTTACTTTCATTTGTTCCCCTATAATCTATTCTCCAGAACGATCTTTTATTTTTTTTTTATTTTTATTTTTTAAAGATTTTATTTATTTATTTGACAGAGACATAGCGAGAGAGGGAACACAAGCAGGGGGAGTGGGAGAGGGAGAAGCAGGCTTCCTGCGGAGCAAGGAGCCCGATGCGGGGCTCGATCCCAGGACCCCGGGATCATGACCTGAGCCGAAGGCAGACGCTTAATGACTGAGCCACCCAGGCGCCCTCCAGAATGATCTTTTAAACTCATGAATTAGATCGTGCTGCTCTGATATATAAAAGCATTTGCTGAAGGGAATGTGTGGTCAGGGAGGGTTTTCAAAAAACAGGAATATTATGCCATATTTATATATTGTGGAGAATGGTCCAGGAGAAAGGGAAAGATCAACAACTTGGGAGGGTAACTGGACAAATTATAGGAGAAATGTTTTTGGGTAAGTGTGAAAGGATGGAATCCAGAACACTAGTAGGAATTGCCTTTCAGAGCATAGGTAGTCACACTTAGTAACAGGAAAGAGTATATGGACACAGCCCCAGGTGGATTGGGAAATATGATGGTGGGAACCTGGTGACGCTCTCTGCTAATTGTCACTATTTTCTCATCTGAGAGTGAGCTGAGAAAGGAAGTGGTGGAGGATGTGGTGAGAGGTGATGATATAAAATAGTCATCTAGGACATGAGACTGGGGAGGGAAGGAATTAGAGCAATCTATCAGGATTTGGGGGCAGTAGTGTTGTCATGAATTGGAGAGTGATCAGTTAGGGGGCTGAGTGTTTTTCCTTTGCCTAAGGTCAAGTGCTCAGGTGGAAGTTTGAAGTAGGTAGAGAGTTGGCTTTTTTAAATTTAATTTAATTTTATTCTGTTATGTTAGTCACCATATAGTACATTATTAGTTTTTGATGTGGTGATTCACGATCCATTGTTTTCATATAACACCCAGTGCTCCATGCAATACGTGCCCTCCTTAATACCCATCACTGGGCTAACCCATCCCCACACACCCCTCCCCTCTAAAACCCTCAGTTTGTTTCTCAGAGCCCACAGTCTCTCATGGTTCATCTCCCCCTCCGATTTTGCCCCCTTCATTTTTCCCTTCCTTCTCCTAATGTCCTCCATGCTATTCCTTATGTTCCACAAATAAGTGAAACCATATGATAATTGACTTTCTCTGCTTGACTTATTTCACTTAGCATAATCTCCT